CGGGCTAGAAGATCTACTAAGTCCCTTCCGACCCTTAATCTATGAAACTATGAATACAGTATAACTTGATTGGAAACCAGTGTTACTTATTTAATCATAACTGAATTGGGGTTTAAGCTAAACTTTTAGATAATGCATGCAAATACGTTTTTATAGTACTGTTCTTCTCCTCTCTTTCTTGTGTCTTGATGATTGCATCTTGCCTTAAATTAAACAGAGGCTTTTCAGAGACCCTTTTTGCATGCATGTTTTTAGAATAGGCAACAGATTCTGACCATGATGGGGCGTTTGTGGTGCTACTGCCATAAAGCAGTCAAATGACAATTTACCTCGTGTATTAGAAATTGGTGATAGTGTCACTCAGTCTCTTTCCTCAATACTGAATTCAATTCACACCAGCAACTCTGTATGATCAACTTAGTGTATATTTAAAAATATATTCTGAAGTAACAAATGTATTTTCTTGTAATACACCTACATACATGTTTAGATGTATTTATAACTCTGATAGAATTTTCAGCCTTGGCTTTTGCTGTCTGTAACTGAATATTTTGATTCCTTATGTTCATCTTTGCCCTCTTAGGGATTGGATCAGGAATCAGTTTTTATTTTAATAATAATCAGAAATTCAACATTCTGACATTGTATTCGACTACCAGGTAAGGTTTGTTCTTTACAAAAAATAGCATTGAATTTTGTCAGGTATTTCTGCTTTTCCTCTTTATCTTAGCAATTAATGTTGCTTGGATGTCCAAATTCCAGATTCTTTTTGTAATGGAAACATCTTTGGTAAAGTACATCAACTGCATTTGCACAATCTAATTCATCTTACCTGAAAACTGTGTGTATAAAATGTCAGGCCTTGTTTTCTAAACCTAGCCTAAAGAAGTGTCAGTCACTATGGGCCTGCATGAGTTGATGGCTAGAAAATGATATTTAGAGGTTTGCTTTTGGGAATTGGCTTGTAGGTAAAGTAGACGTTGCATTAGAACAATGATCCATGGGAATGGCAAGGGTTAATTGATTTCCAAAAGCCTGTTTGTGACAGTTACCTTCAAGGCCCACTGTGTCTGAAGCCAGCAAACACATAGGCTTGAAAATTGAAGACATACCATGCTGTTCCATAACAAGAGATGAGGTGGCATTAGGTCACAGTGCCAACTTTGGGATTCCCAGCTTTGGTGAAAGAAGACCAGTAAATGACTAAATTAAGATTTGTGTGCATATGACGGGTTTGTGAAACAAAGGAATATGCTGGCAGGACAGAAAGTGGACAGTATGATGAGCACAGGGAGACCAATCTATGATGCTCAGAGATGAAGAGTCATCAGAGGAGAGAGAAAACAAAATGAGGGATTTCAGAACAGCAGAGGGTTCCTGAAAGGGGAACCCAAGGCCACCAAGGGCACACAAACAGCCTGTCTCACCCACCCCACTGGCTGGGGAGGCCTCAGCCCTAGACCTCCAGGCTGCTGACATCTGACATTCAAGAGAGAACCTCAGAGTGAAGCTCACATACTGGCCAAATTTACCTTCCCTCTGACAGCTCTAGGACTGGTAGATATAGAATCGGGAGCAGGGGGTTATTTGTGTTTGCCTTGCCTGCTTTATTCTTATCTGCTATCACTGTGTATCAATAAAATTCACTTCTAATTGAATGGAGAGGTTGTGGTGGGTCTGAGGGTTTGGGTCCTCCTGGAACAAGGTTATAAATCCAGTGTAAACAGAGTCATGTGTGAGGCTAAATGTGAGCACCTTTTTGAAACTCTTTCCAAACCCATCCAGGGGTGTGTTTTGCGAGATCGGCAATCAAATTTTAAGGATTAAATTGCTCTGCATATTTTAGCTATTGCCCTCTCCCTTCATTGTGCTTTATGTGCTCCAAGCTTGAGCCTTCCTAATGTTCTTCCAAAGCAAACTGGGCACTTTGTTTAGATGTTTTTCTGTCTTTCAGCGTGGAAAGAAAAAGAGCAAGAAGAGAACAAACGGTTACAGTCAATAAGATGTTCTACCAAGAGAGCAGCATTGAGGGGAATCATCAGGCAGTTCATTATAATGTAATTGCCCAAGTTAAAAAGGTGTGCGAAGTAGTTGATGGATTCATCTATGTTGCTAATGCAGAAGCTAATAAAAGTAAGGAATATTTTAACCGTATTGACTTTTTTGTGAATGTTTAAGATGCCACTAGTATAAGAGAATTTATACCTGAACAGTTAGATTCTGGAAATTTTGTTCACTTGGAGTGCACCAGATTATACTAATGGTCTGAAGAAGAATTGAGTTTGTTAATGGATTGCTTTAAGGGAGTATAAGAGTGAGGTTGTAGCCATGATCCTCTAGAAATTATGTAAGAGGCAAGGATTTTCTTAGAGTGATATCTTTCATTAGACCAACTAGCATTGTTTTAAGGGCACTGTTCATTATGTAATGTTTGATAAAATTGTATTTCAATATGTACATTAGAAGAAATTATTAAATATCTAATTTTTCATTGTCTGGCAGTATGCTGGCATCTTGTTTTGTATTCTGAGGTTCTTTTTTCTGTTTGCTTACCTAACAGAAGAATACAATTTAATTCTCTGATCTAATCTTAAGTAGTTCTGTATTTCTGATTTACCAGTTCATCAAAGGGAGGTTGATATTCAGTGCTTTTGATTTGGGATGTATAATCTAACGAGTTTCTCTAATATGAACCTTTTGGTTTGTTCCTAGCAGCTAATTTCCTTTTTAGAAGACATAAAATTATAATGAAGTCATGTGTCCTGAATATTCTAATATTATAAAAACCTTAATCTGCTGCCTGTATGGCCATAATGCTTTATTCGCATTCTGATTGGCTGACAAACAGCCAAGCAGAGTGCAAAGAAGCATTCAGACAGGAGGTGGCAACGCAGCAGAGCACCGCCATGATAGCAAGGACACAGGGGATGGAGGTGGGAGCCCTGCTCCCTGGAGGCAGCAGCAACGGAGCAGACGTAACCTGCCCTTGCTTCCTGCAGCTGGTGACAGTGGACTGGAGGGGAGAGCCAAGGCCGCTGGAGCTGGCCTCGCTCCCCCCATCCATTGTTGCCATCTGCAGGACCGATGCAGTGGCTGTGGGAGGAGGAATGAGCCTGAGTTGGGGGAGAAACTGGCCTTCCACTGCGGTGGGGCAGAGAGCAGTGGGCCTGGGCTGATACGGCTCAGAGAGCGGGGGAGCAAGCCTCCCCTTCTCGGGCCTGGGCCCACTTCTCCCACACTCTGCCCTCCCCCTGCATTGGCTCCAAGCCCACTCCTCCCATTTCTGCATCACTGTCGGGTTGGCCAGGCCCTGATGCTTCCCGTCCCCACCCCAACCTCGGCGGCCCAGTTTCTCCCCACCCTCAGGCCCGGTCCTCCTCCGCACGGGGCCTGGGCCCACTCCTCTCTGTCCACTCCTGCGGCAGGGAAGAGGGGAGTGGGCCTAGACCCCAAGCAGCAGGAGGGAAGGGGCGAGCGGGCCCAGACCTGGGGGTGGGGCCCACTCCTCCCACCCCCCATCTTTCTTGACAGGCAATTGGCTAGTCTTTTAATACTGGAGCACTTATATTTTGTTTGACCCTTCAGCTGGGCTGAACTGTCTAGAGGAGGGAGCAGAAAGAGAACAGGAAGGTGGTGAAGGAGAGTAACATGCTGTCTAAACTGTGTCAGTGGGAAATGAGAGAGATTTCTAAAACAGGCTGTTGTGACTTGAGTTATCTCTTGGGAGGTATGCATAAAACTACAATGATGGGTATCTTTCTAAAAATAAAGATAAACCTGTAATGAAATTGAGCTTTACTGTACAAGTGGGTTTTGCATACAGTTTAATATTCACATTGTAATCTTTTTCTTAGTACACGATCGTCAGGATGAACTTGCCCATATTTTGGCAATGATTGATCCAGCTCTTGGACCCCCAAACAGACCTGTGCTGTTTTTATCCTGTACCTCTTATGAGGATGTTAAAAGAATTCCATGTGTTTACATGGCACACCAACTGCAACTAAACCAGCTAAGGCAGCCATGGATGGTATTTCTATTTTTAATCTCTATTATTCTTGTTAGTCGTCTTTATAACTTTTTCTTTGAGTAAGAGACACAAAATGCTTTTTCCTACTGTTTAATTACCGGTATAGCTGTTGACACTTTAATATCTGAACAAACAATAGGAATATATTATAAATCTGAACAAACATCATGAATTTAGCATCTCAATGCTTCTGTGAGAAGAAGTACTATCCCAGTTATTTAGATGAGAAATTGAAGCACAGAAAAATGAAGTGAATTGCCTAAAGACATACATGAAGATTATGGCAGAGCCAGAATGGAATGTGGGGTAAAATCTTGTCTTTATAGTCAGCAGCAAAACTTCCACTGATTTCAGACCAGATCTCCTTAATCCCAACCCAGTAACTTAACCACAAGCCTCTTTTTCTTGTAATTTGCAGGAGCTTATTAGTTGGTCAGCTTACATGTACCTGTCTGTATCCTGTGCTGCTTCTACTCTTTTTCAGTGCACCACCTTTATTCAGCACTTGAGGTCCTGAACTTATTTAACACTTTGACTTGCACAAAACATGTAAGCGTGGTAAGGTTTTGGGGAGAGTAGTGTTTTGTGAGTACGCCATATTCCAATTAAGCATTCAGCCTCAGGTCTGAAAAAAGGCTATGCACTTACCTGGAATACTCCCGTATCCAAATTTAATGTAAGTAATGATCATTAAGTCCACAGTGCTGTGGACTAGCATCCCTGAAACTTCTAAAGATTCTCATAGCAGTTATGAAGGTTCAGGGTTGTTATCAGAATCTTTGAAAATGATGGGAGCTAGTCAGTCTCACAGCTTATTAGAAGTCTTGAAAATGAAGGGAGATAGCAATTCTGAAATGGACTATCAATTATAAGGCCTCCCATAGTAACCCTTTGATAACTGCATTTTCTTCAGAGCACAGTTAGTTTACAAAGTAAACACGGGAGCTGAAGGATGCTATGAATTGAAGCAGTTTATTTGCTTACCAGGTATATAAATACCTGTGTTACAATGTAAGCAGCAGGATCCTCTGAGAGGTCAGTCTGAGGGGGAAAGGAATCCAGGAGAGCTGATTGTATTTTAAAAAGCCCTTACTTAGCGTGCAGAAACAAACCATCCCAATGTACAGGAAAAATAGCAAATATAGCAGGCGAGCAGCTTGGCTTAGCAGAGAACTCTTCAGTCATATTAAATGCAAAAAGGAAGATTACAAGAAGTGGAAGCTTGAACAGATAACTAGGGAGGGGTATAAGAATATTGCTTGGGCATGCAGGGGATGGAATCAGGAAGACCAAAGCACAACTGGAGCTGCAGCTAGCAAGGGATGTGAGGGGTAACAAGCAGGGTTTCTACAAGTATATTAGGAACAAGAGGAAGATAAGGGAAAGTGTGCATCCCATACTGAATGGGGGAGGCAACCTAGTGACAGATGAGGAGGAAAAGGCTGAAGTACTCCATGGCTTTTTTACCTTGATCTTCACAGACAAGGTCAGCTCCCAGACTACTGCAGTGGGCAGCACAGTTTGGGGAGAAGGTGAGCAGCCCTCTGTGATGAAAGAACAGGTTAGGGACAATTTAGAAGAGCTGGACATGTACATGGGACCAGATGCAGTGCATCCAAGGGTGCTGAGGGAATTGGACAATGTGATTGCAGAACTGCTGCCCATTACATAGCTTTAAAAACTCGTGGCAATTGGGGGAGGTCCCAGACGATTGGTAAAGGGCAAATATAGTGCCCATCTTTAAGGAAGGGAAGAAGGAGGATCCAGGAAACTACAGACTAGTCAGCCTCACCTCAGTCCCCAGAAAAATCATGGAGTAGATCCTCAAGGAATCCATTTCTAAGCACTTGGAGGAGAAAGTGATCAGGAACAATCAGCATGGATTCACCAAGGGCAAATCATGCCTGACCAACCTGATTGTCCTCTGTGATGAGATGACTGGCTCTGTGGATGCAGGGAAAGCAGTGTATATGATACCTTGACTTTAGCAAGGCTTTGATACTGTCTCCCACAGCATTTTTGCAAACAAGCTAAGGAAGTATGGGCTGGATGAATGGACTGTAAGGTGGATAGAAGGATGGCTGGATTGTTGGACTCAACGGGTAGTGATCAATGGCTCAAGATCTAGTTGGCAGCCAGTATCACTTGATACCCAGGGGTTAGTCCTGGGGATGGTTTTGTTTAATGTCTTCATTAGTGGTTTAGAAGATGGGACAGAGTGCACCCTCAGCAAGTTCGCGGATGACACCAAGCTGGGGGGTATAGTAGATATGCTGGGGGATAGGGCTAGGATTCAGAGTGACCTAGACAAATTGCAGGATTGGACCAAAAGAAATCTCATGAGGTTCAACAAGGACAAGTACAAAGTCCTGGGCTTAGGACAGAAGAATCCCGTGCACTGCTACAGGCTTGGGACTGACTAGCTAAGTAGCAGCTCTACAGAAAAGGACCTGGGGGTTACAGTGGACAGGAAGCTGAATATGATTCAACATTGTGCCTTTGTTGCCAAGAAGGCAAAAAGCATACTGGGCTGGATTAGTAGGAGCGTTGCAACAGACCAAGGGAAGTAATTATTCCCCTCTATTCTGCACTGGTGAGGCCACAGGTGGAGTACTGTGTCCAGTTTTGGGTCCACCACTACAGAAAGGATGTGGAGAAATTGGAGAGAATCTAGCAGAGGGCAACACAAATGGTTAGGGGGCTGGGGCACATGACTTAGGAGGAGAGGCAGAGGGAATTGGGCTTGTTTAGTCTGCAGAAGAGAAGACTAAAGGGGAATTTGACCGCAGTCTTTAACTATCCACAGGGTGGTTCCAAAGAGGATGGAGCTAGTGGTGCAGGTGACAGAACAAGGAGCAATGGTCTCAAGTTTCAGCAAGAGA